AAAATTAGCTTTGACAGCTTGGAATGTCACATGCGGTAATATGCTCTCGCTTTTATTTTGAAAAACACTAAACGTAAGTCTTCTTCTACTTCCGATTTAGACCAACATGGCGGAACACTCAGAAAATATYAAATATTTTGTGAGAGAAATTGAAAAAAATGACGGCTGTACGTTAAAAATAAAGCAGTGTTACATGGGAGACGTCGGTTGTGTGGTTTGGGATGCAGCTATTGTTCTCGCTAAATATTTAGAGACGAAACATTTTTACGAGCCGTCTTCAGGAGTCAACGTGTGGTCTGGCACGACTGTAGTGGAGTTGGGAGCTGGGACAGGAGTCGTGGGTCTGATGGCAGCAACACTCGGGTAAGACTGCTTAATCTGCTGAGGGTTTTATTACGTTACTCATCTAATTGTTTAGGCACAAGCGCCGCAATTCTGCGCAAATGTCCGGTTATGTGATTTTAAAATAATTTGTGGGACTTATCTTCATCTACAGAGCACAAGTAACAGTAACAGATCTGGAAGATCTGCAGGTCCTCCTAAAGGTGAACATCCAAGAAAACCAGGCACTCATCAGTAGTGGGTCCTTAACTGCCAAGGTACTGAAATGGTTTGTACTTATGTTACTTTTGTGAATACAGAATTAATATTAACATTTATATAAACTGCATATAAACTAAATGCTAACTCACTAATTCCAACTCTTTTTTTTTTTTACAGGGGTGATGATGTGTCTGAGTTCTTGCCTCCCCCACATTARATACTTATGGCAGATTGCATCTATTATGAGCAGGTATTTAGTTACAAATCAGTCCTATACAGCAGTGTTTCCCAAAGTTGGGGTCGGGACCCAAAGTGGGGTCCCGAAACATCAAGGTTGGGTCCTGAAAATATTTTCTGAATTAATTACATTTTTGCCGTAGTTGTTACAAAGGTGTGAGGTTAGTGTATTAAAAATGGATAAATGTAGAATAATAAATATTGTCACTATGCCCATGTTTAGTTGACCCGATACAAATGTTTATCATCCAAAAAAATAGTTGGGGGCACAGGTCTCTGTTACTGTTATTTTGTGGGTCAAAAGCTGAAAAGTTTGGGAACCACTTTGGTGCCCAAAGTTGGGCTTGGGACCCAATTATGGGTCATGAAGCACCTTGGATAATCTCCAGAAATCAATTTAAAGGGTGATGATGTAATATTTTTCCTACTACAAAAACACAAAATTAGTATAAATAAGTATTTATATTTGTGTAAAGCTGTTTATATAGTCAAAAACCTGTGTTTTTAGGGTTATTAACGAAGTTTGTGTACTCAGACCAGTAATATTTGGGGTCACAAGTTTTTGCCATGGATATTTTGTGGGTCAGAAGATAAAAAGTTTGGGAACCACTGSTATACAGGACTACCTTTCTGAAACAATACAAATGAAGCATGTTCTGCATTTATTCTCATCGCCAGTTGTCTTTTCTTCTTAAAGTCAATCGTTCCTCTGGTGGAGAGTTTGAAGCTGCTTTCTGGACCAGAGACCTGCATTATTTGCTGCTATGAACAGCGCACTGAAGGCATCAATCCAAAGGTGGAAAATCAGTTTTTTGAGGTAAGTAGATAAAACTAAAATATTTAATATTTATTTTTGTTTATTTAACCTTCAGGTTTACCTTTTTGGAATTCACTAACTTGCTTTTATGTTATGTCTTAGCTGCTGCAACAACATTTTAATTGTGAGAAGATCCCTTCTGACAAACAAGACCCAGAGTTCAGCAGTCCGGACATCCACATTCTGCACATTCGAAAAAAGGTTTAAATCTGTTGGTTGAAATGGTTTCTTTAATAATTTATCACACAAACCAGTTGAACATAAAGTTATGTTGTAGAAAGTTGAAAGTCTACACAGCCTTTATAACATGTTCAGTTGAATTTTATATTTGTAAAGATATTTTCTGAATGAAATAATAATAAAAAAATTCTAAAACAATGTTTTATAATTATTAACATTGAAACAATGGTGTTGATTTAGGTGCTGGCATTAAATATAAATATAAGATAAAGTTAAATTTATCATAATTATAGAAAATACAACTTGAATTCATGCAGGTTGTTTCTACAGGTCATGGGTCATCTTATTCACATAATTCATTTTTAAACACTAGAGGGCAACAGATGCATACATTTTAGCCCAAGAAATCACATTGTCCTAAGTATTGTGTCCACTAAAAACATTTGGGGTAATCTGTTTATGTATATCATAACATATTAGTAATTTAATTTATTAACTAATAGTTAAGTTTTACAAAAATTATGACAAGGAAAATAAATGTAAGAACTTAAATTGTTGATGAATCTAACAGTCTGTGCCAATTTCTGTCCTCTGTGTGAGGGGAGTTCCACTCAAAGCTCCAGATTAAGAGAAAGATTATGGCTCTTTTTCAAGCATAAAACCATGAAGTATGTCTCACACACACACACACGCACACACACACACACACACACACACACAGAGTTGTGCAGGGGCCCCTCACAGCCTTTCATGCTGATCTGTTTACACAGCAGAGTGTAATTGTGTAATGAGCACGGGCGGCCTTCAACACTCGCACTAAAAGTGAACAAAGAAGTTGACAGTTTGGGGATCTAAGTACTTTTAATTGCTTTATAAAAGAGAATAAGTCTGGAAATGTCTTAAAGGGATCCATGATTAGTTGTAACATTAGACTTTATTTGATAAACATATATTTTAACTGTAAAATAAAGACTGTAAAAATACTGTAGGATGTTTAGTTTTKAWAATTTTTAAACTAAAAGTTTAAAAATATATTAGACGGACAGGGCCATTTTATTTACACGCAAAGCATTCTGGGTAAATTATGATGTGGATAGGTCCTCGGTGTGAGCGAACTATATCCACCCTGAAGGTTAATCTTGGACAATATCTGATGATCGGCTCTTTTAAATGAAACCAGAGAGCGTTGACAGAGAGGAGAAGGTAGAAATGACTCAGCCTGTAACTGAAAATATAGATGGAGGACCTCAGTTTAGCTTGTTTGTTTGTCACACTAGCACTGAGCTAATACATACTGTATAAGGCAATGTAGCGTCGGCGCTAGCGCTAAAGCTAACAGGCTAAGCTGAGGTTCTTCTTCCATGAAGCAGCTCTGTTGTCCTCCATCCATATTTTCAGTTACAGGCTGAGTCATTTCTACCTTCTCCTCTCTGTCAACGCTCTCTGGTTTCATTTAAAAGAGTCAATCATCAGATGTTGTCCAAGATTAACCTTCAGTGTGGATATAGCTCGCTCACACCGAGGACCTATCCACGTCATCATTTACCCAAAATGCTTTGTGTGTAAATAAAATGGCTCCGTCTGTGTTAAAATATATTTGAAGAAATTTACAAAACAAACAGCCTACAGTATTTTTACAGTCTTTATTTTACAGTTAAAATAAATGTTTTTCAAATAAAGTCTAATGTTACAACTAACCGGGGATCCCTTTAATGTTATCCTCGCGTCTTAACTAGTAAAACTCTAGGGTATAAAAGATTCCCACTTGTTTGGTTCAACAACTTTATGAAACTAGGGTGTAAGTTCACAAAAAAKATGATGATCAGCAGATTGCAGTGTTTGACAGATGTTTAAGTTCTACCTTGGTTAAATCATAAAGGGTCTCAGAATTTCTTAAATACGTTTTGACTGGTGATTACAAAAGTAACAGATGAATTTTTCATTGATGCTATAATATAGACCCACTGACTGCAGCCGCTCCCTGTGGCCCGGCCTGCACTGCCCTCTCAATTGTGCCTCAAGCTGCTGGATATTTACCATCAGAACTGACCTCATGTTGAGGTCTCCCCCGGCTTTGGCCAGCTAATTAATTTGAGCCACCGCTGGTACTAAACCCGTGCTCCTCTGTGTGGTGGGGACAGGTCCCAGAGAGGGGTATGGGAAGATTATATAAGTAGAAGGGGGACATCCACTGCTTTGTGTCAATATATCCTCTTCTAATCCGCCCTTCGCTTTCATTTTCAAGTGGCTTTGATCAGGTCTTTCCATTTCTCCATCCTAAATGGTAACTAAAAATAATTAAAACGGTGTGGAGGTCTTTTTGTGCTTGGCTAATTAGGCTAGTACCACAGGGGAATAAAAGGAGGCTTGCCGTGAATGAGAGCAGCCACAGTGAAGCAGTGAAGGTGTCTTTGTATTTTGTTTTCATACGCATATTATTGTTGAGTCATGACCACAGCATGATTGGTAATATATCTACTTCTTGCAACAAGACAGAATGAGGGCATTTTTTTCTGCCAACAGATGGTGCTATTAAGTTTTAGCTGCAAGAAAAATCTGCAAAGAAAAAACAGTTCAAAGCTTCAGATTGTCTGCACGGATTTATTATAAGATGCAATTAATAGATTTTTAGTAATTAGTATATTAGAAAAGTTGGTTTCCACAGTATGTGCAAGGTGTTACTGCCGTGATGGAAAAATATTTGCATGAATCCGTGATCTGTGACGACCCTGAATATTCCCAACAGCCTCTGTGGCGTGCTCCGCTCTGCAGCATCACARCCAAGTGCCACAGAGGATCCTTTGTGTCGCCATCATCACGCTGCCAGGAGCCAAAAAGACGCTGTTCCAGAAAAGAGGGCTCATTTTGGTGCTAACTATCAGGGAGTGGCTGGAGAATAGACATCAAACTGGGCTGCTTAAAAATAGAAAAGCAGCAGMAATGTGCGGCGACTCACGCACACGTTCTTCCTCTTATCTTTCACATGGCAAACTGAAGTTCACCGAACTTTATGCTTTCCGTTGTGACCCTACTTCCAAAACAGAGCATGTGATTCGTGCTATCTTTCTGGAATGATAGGAGCGATGCAACTTGGTTTCTGCTATAGTGAATCTGACAGCATGAATTGGCACCGTACCACAGTGGGACATCTATGGAGCCAAGATGCAGACTCCTCCCGCTCTCCTGCAGGGGTGCTGTTAATACAGCTGTGCTGCAGTTGAAACGGGACACAAATCCAGCACTGTGACAATACGCTCCTCACTCTCCCCTTTTAACYGTTCCACACTTTACTACTGCTTGCACGTTTTCACACAGCCATTTAAGTATAAACTAATCCTGGAAGTCTTTTTTATTMAATTTGAAACTATAGTCTTTGTGGAATTCTCATTTCTCTTGTTTTCTGCCTCTACAGCATTTCCAGTGCAGCGATGTATTTGTCATGATTAGGATGTGTTGGCGCCAGAACAAAGTGGGGGGAAATGCTCGGAGGGAGGGGACATTGTTCACATGCAACATTTCCCTGAGTCATTACTTCTCAGAATGGTCTGATTGGGGGACTGAAGGCTGCTTGACTTGCCACAGATGTAAGGTTTCCTTCCAAACACATCTTGTTTAATCCAGATGCACCATCACAACTCTGTGATTACTACCATCAAGTCAGTTACACAGTTTGTCACGGTGTCAAACTGCTCATCAGAGCTTCTGAGGTCGTTTTACATGGATCCTCATCATCCTGTCAGTCAGYGTGAACACYGCTCTGCTGCTGGATGAATGTTTTGGGCTGCATTAAGACGATAACATCACTGTTTCTGTGAAAACAAAGGCTCTGCGTACATCTTATAGAGCCAGGGCCCTCTCAGGCAGAAGGAGGAAGAAGTGTGGAAGTGGAGGAAGAAAAGAATGACGCAGTGATGATGAGAGGTGCACAGTGGAGGAAGACAGAAACGTTATATGAAGGATGTTGACCCAGGTTTGTGGCCAGCAGGTTAGACTGAYAGAGGATATTGTGAGGACACCGGCCATGTATGTTAGGGTTTGGGTGTTATGTATATTTAAGTGTCTTTGTTTTATATATATATATATATATATATATATATATATATAGGATGTCTAGAGATTTTTTTGTTTGTTTGTTTTGAATTTGAGAAAAAGTTAAGGCCTTTAGTGCATTTTCTCATGTCTGTTTTAAATCTGGCTTCAAATAGTGTACTGCWTACTGTATTCAGACTGTTGCATGTACAATTCACTCACAGTAAATATTGTGCTAGTACAACTATTGGACCAAAAAAGATTGTTGCAAGCTTTTAAAGTTAGTATGTAAAGCTTTTGATGGGTCAGTTGGTTTCTAGAGATGGGGCTTGCAAAGTTACAATAAGTAGGAATTCAGACCAAAGCAGGGGCGGTTCTAGGCGCGGGACCACAGGGGCATTAACCCCATCTGAAATCTGATTGGCCCTCTGAAATGCCCCTATCCTGTCACTCATCTGTCCTTTGCCCAAGAGTGTCTGCAGTTCCACTTCCAAAGAGTAGTGGCGCTAATGAGTCAAATAGCAAAGTCCAGCATGAAGCAAGCTTACATACTTTTTTTAATTTGGATAATCCTGCAGAAAAAGTATTTTAACTGCCAACAATGGCTGAATTTTCTCACATCTTGTGTGCTTGAGAGTATTTTATGTATGTACAGTAAAAATGCATGTCAAATTGATAAGGAGAATTTACTGTTCGAGCTTTTACAAGTGTCTGAACACGTGTGACTGATTGAATTCATACACCTTACAAAAACTGTTAAACAAATACTTGGCCCCTCTATGAATACTGTGGCCCCTGGATGGCCCCGTACACTGAAAAATCCTAGATCCGCCACTGGACCAAAGCGATGCATTTCCACTTTCTATAGACCACAACTGAATGATTTAAATGTGTAAAAGAAGGATTTAAAAGCATGATATGTCTTCTTTTAGAATTGGGGTGACTCCAAAAATTAACCAGTTGTAGATGTGTGTTCTGATAGAAATCTGTCTAATGGTTCATGGGGTATTTCGCTAACAGACACACACGTACAAGCAAAGCACTACTGCCTTTGGCCTCGGCAGTGAGAAACGATTACAGCATGCTTCTGTTCTCTGCAGCCAAGTGTCATTAATAATAATTTCCTTCTCTCCGCGCTGAAGCATCGCTCGCACCAGAACGGAAGAAAGTTACAACTCAGATCTGGTCCACTTTAGTCTCCGTGTGTTGCAGCTAAATAAACACTATGTATCAGCACGGGGACAAGCTGGTTTTCACACTCCTACAGCTGTGTTAAACATCTGTAAATTCTCAAGCGGACCCATGTGGACAAGGAAATTGAGGGAAAACCCAGCGTGATGGTTTTGTGACTTCAGTCATGAAAGTGGATGCTTGCATGAACACTTTGTGTATCGTGTTGCTAAATAAACCGAGCACGTCGGGTACAACACTTCATAATCATTTTCTGGTTTCCCTGAATTAGTTATTTCACCACCGCATGTACCCTTCAGTTGGAGATACGAAAGGAATGTTGTTTTGGACTACTGCCCAGAGTACCTTGGACTTCACGGCCGCACTTTTTTCAACCTTATTTGGCTTGCCTACAGCATTCGTATTGAAACTGTTTTTTTTAATAGTTATTTGTGAAGCTGCTGCTCTGAAACACCTGCTGTCAACATGAACACCGGTCACACTTACAGTACAGAAAGAAAGCTGTGCATCTAATGGTGATACTTATTGTACCGTTCAGCACTCGTACCCACAGCAGGAAACCCAACAACAATTTTCAGACACTTCCGCAGCACCTGCCTGAGTTCAGTTTTAACAGCTCGATGAGTTAACCGAGGGCAGGAGTGAAAGAAGAGGACGGAGGGAGCTGTTTCACAACCAAAGAGACCATTTTAGTGTCCAAGAGGACAAGCAGTGCCTGAACCGAGACGTCACACATGTGGTTCAGAGTAGGTGTTCCCTCCTGCCATTTGTCAGATAAATAAACTGACATAATAATGGTGCTTGACTCTGTGGACAGGAATTTCTAGGTTTGAATGCAATTACCTATACGGGTGTGACTGCAGCACTGCAGGCCGCCATTAAGTCAAGAGAAGAGTAAAAATGGAGCAACCTGCACAAATGTTGCTCTGCAGATGGAGTTCAGAGGAAGTGAAGACACGTGAGTCAGACAAACCACACCCGAGAAAGCCACAAAGACAGCACAGGTCAGGTTTGAAAAAGCTTGGGCGGAGTACAGCTGTACAGCTCCTCTGCCAGTCACTTTCATTGTTTTTTCTCGAGCCGACTAATAAGAGGAGAGCTGTCGTCATGGAAAAAAGTGGAAAAATATGTTGTGCAATGTTTCAGAAGAGTCTCTTGATTGCTTTCCTCTCTTCCTCTTTTCACGTCGAACAGAGGAAGTGATTGTAAACGCGCAGCAGCTCAGTCAGTCACTTGTGCGATATTGAAGACACGGAGACAAAGCTGGCAGAGATTTCATCAGGCCACTGTCACAGCAACGCCCTCAACAAACAGCCCAAGTCAAATTAGTCATACACACGTTTTACACAAACCAGTGTAGAATTAAGTGGGAGTTTAAGCCTGTGTTTTGGAAGATAATAGGACTTTTGCAAACTCAGATCAGACCCGCCTCAAACAAGATAAATGAGTCAATACAGGGAATACTTTTAACTCAGCTTCCTTCTCTGACCTGATCTGAAACCCCTTCCTAACCTTTCCTCTCAGGGAGGAATTCAAGCTGAGCTCAGAAGGGCCTGGAGGTCTCGTTTTAACAGAGAGGGACAAATCATTAAAACTTGCCCAAAGTCTTTGTCCTTGCCTTTAAGGCTCACAGCGTTGCCTTTAAAGCTGTGAAGATCATATGGTTGTAATGAAGTGGTGGGAACTAAAAAAGTCCAATTAAGCTGCCATCGTCTGATGAGGAGGCTGAGCGTAAGTAAAACCCTTCTCCTGTAGCTGATCTTCATTAACGTTTTAAAGGGAGCTCTTAAATCACTGCTTCATTACGTAGGTGACTCGTGTTAAAACATCTTTTCTGGAAGCATCTGGTCTTGTCACCTAACCTGCCTGACTGAAATCACTGGGGCACCCTAAGGCCTCGAGAATAACTCGCTTTAGTGCTGGATTTTTCCAGACAAACAAGGTTAAAGCTGTACGAAAGATCAGTGGATGCAGACAGACGCATGCAGCTCACACACACAATAAATTATATTATTCTAAAAAAAAAAAACTTTACAATTTATGTGAGTTTTTGCCTGTGTTCATTTGTCTGTAAAATATTAACGTTTGGGAGTCAACCCTATGTAAGTTACTTACTCAAAATAATAGGGCAAAGTTTATAATGGTAGTCATTCACATGTACTGTGAGGATTAACACWACCCAAAAGGTGACTGCGGCAGCCATCTTTGATTTAAAAAGTCATAAAAGGCAGCAGGTGTTGGCTTCCTTCAAATGCTCAGCCCTTAATTAAAGTATGTATATGAAATAGTAAGAATGAATGGGCAAAAATTATCTGAGGAACAACACTTATTGTTATATTATTAATATAAATCAATGGTCTTTTTTACAGGAGTAAATCTGTTAATTGATAAAATTCAGGATAAAAAAACAATCTCAATAACGTACAGTATAAACGAAAAGAAATTGGACATCATGGCTACGATTGTTGGTAAAATGTAGGCTAACAAATTTCCACAATGCTCCTAATTTAATTGTAGATGTTAGAGGAAAAAAAGTGAGATAACTAATTCATATTGTAAACTACAGTACATTAATGCTCAGTTGTCACACTAGAGTTTAATCTCAGTGAATTAGACAGATGGTTTTTAAGGCCGTCCCAAGTAAACACGGACTCAGGAAGTTACAGCTGACAGCTCTGAACCAACACGTTAACGTTCAAAAAGAATTCACCACAATACAGCTGGATTTCTGCACAACTCTCATGTGGTCCTGCTGCTGTTCCAAACAACAGTAGTTGGGACTTCCTGTTTAGCTCATTTTCCTTTTGCACAGGGAACTAAAGCCAGCCTTTCTGTCTCGGCATGGATGGAAAACCATTGAATAACATATCGAATACTTTACCCCAAAACTTAATTGTTTTTAAAATTATGTCTCCTGGTATTACCACTTTTAAGTTACAAGATTAATCAGGCTAACCCTTATTTTTATATAAATAATCAACAATAAATCAGACATAAAAGATTTAAAATCACTTTTTTAATAAGACATTACAATGACATTGTTCTGTACATAGTTCCCCCCCAGTCAAAAAAGGAGTAAGAGCTGCACCACAGGGTATCATTCAACTTCTCACCAGTTAGCAGCTTCCTCTGACTGCACCAACAGATGGACTCTGATGTAGGTAGGCTTAATGTACTTATGTACTCATGCTACAGATATAGGCTATCATATAATGTCCCAATACTGAGACTAATCAACTGTGATATCAGGCTGCGATTTCTGAGCTGAATGACATTCATTGGGAAAGATTGAGCCAACTACCTATTACCCTTTAAAAAAAATGCATTTTGACAAGCATGTTTCAGAGTTACTGGTGGCCTAGTTGTTTAATACTCAGCACAATTAGATATCAAGACATGACACAAAAGGTCAATCAGTTAACTATATAGCCCACTTAAGGGAACTGGAACAAGGAACAAAACATGTTCAGGGTTTTTTTTTTTTCTTTGATGTCTAATGAAAGTGAAATGTTGGTAATCCCCCCCTTGCATATTACCCTACTGCTTTCTTAATGCCAGAGAAGAATTAATCACAGTACTGTGCTAACAAAAGTTCCAAATCCTTCAAGTCGGCTATGTAACATTAAAGAGCTGACCGTTGGAAAAATAAAATAAAATAAGTGATCCAAGTTCAAYAAAACAGACTAAAGACTTTTCAAACATCTTTAGTCTATATGGATAAAGATTTCAAAATTAGAAAACAAAACAAAAAAAAAGAATAGGCAAAGTGGTGATTTCTGTAGCTTTAACCTCAGGACAAATTAAATTTATTGTCAAGCAAGTCCCAATAATAACGTGATACAAGCCTGCTACAGAACACAAGCAAACTTTAAGCCAGCAAACCCAGTTAAAGATAAATTAGTCAAACGGGATAAACAAAGTAAGAAAAATAAATGCAGATTATCAACTTTTATTAACCATACTCATTTGAAGATGTTAATTGTTACTTGCGACATTTTTTTTAAATCTTGTAGTTTTGACCTAAAACAGTCAGCACTCAATCATTAAGACTTGTAATTTGAGGTTAGCCATGTCAAACCCTCATAGAGTCCATCGCCTGTGGTTGCACAGGAGGGTTGAACATACCAATTCCTGTCTCGGATGCGGGTCAATCCAAGCTTCTCCTGGATTTCATGTGGCTTCATGGCATCCGGGAGGTCTTGCTTGTTGGCGAATATCAAGATGATGGCATCTCTCATCTCCCGGTCGTTGATGATGCGGTGGAGTTCTTGTCTCGCTTCGTCAATACGATCCCTGTCTGCGCAATCCACCACGAAAATTAAGCCCTGGGTGCCTGTGTAGTAGTGTCGCCACAGAGGGCGGATTTTATCCTGGCCTCCAACATCCCAGACGTTGAACTTGACGTTTTTGTAAGTGACCGTTTCCACATTGAAGCCAACTGTAGGAATCGTGGTCACGGACTGTCCCAGTTTCAGTTTGTAAAGGATTGTTGTCTTTCCGGCAGCATCAAGTCCTAGCATCAGTATTCTCATCTCTTTGTTGCCAAATATTTTTGAGAGCATTTTCCCCATTTTAGACTCTTGAGCATAAAAACTTTGTCCCAACGAAAAAAAAATACCAATAATATGCTAATGTGTTGCTGAGTATTCGCTGTCAGTCAATGCAGCCAATTCAGTCCAGGCTTACTGGTGAAACCATGTCTTGGTAAAAATGTATTTGGATGAAAAAAAAAAATCAAAACTGCACACACATACTTAAAACTAACAGRAATTTTTTGAGACTTTTTTTCCCTTTTAAAGTCTGTCAGGAACCTGTTGAATGCAGAAACATTTATGTTGAGGTTTTATAGAACTACAAACCACATGACACAGTGAAGCTAAAAACTTGACAGCGGCTGCTGCAGGTTGTTCATTGTTCAGCAAAACTGAACAAAGATGTGCGAGAGTCACAGACCAGGACAACTGAGACTTACAAAGAGCCAGCACGGTGAGTGTGTGGGAATAAAATCTCCAGAAAGCCGCGTTGCTTGTGCTGGTTTTCGTGTGGCGATAGCGTGAAGGCGGTCCTTCTCGCCGGCTGYGCCCTTGTTCTCTTCACAACTGCCTGGGGAGAAAGAGCAGCTTTCTGCGGCTTCTTCAAASAAGGTGGCGCCGAGCGACCCACACGTCGCTGTAGGGACGACTTCGAAGTAAAAAAAATAAAACAAAATTCCGTTGACTCAGCGAAGGAAAAAAAGACCCACTCAGGAAACTCTGGCCGCACTGAAAAGAGATTTAGGGGGAGGGTCAGACATGAAAAATTAGCCAGCTATCGCTCGTGGCTGTAAAGACGGTTAGTGAGCTAGCATTAGCTAAGCTAACGAGCTAACGTTAGTTAGCTACAGTAAACTAATCGAATCAAGACATAAAATACACGCTATGGTCATACAATATCTAGCGACGATTTTAAGCAATTCGATGGTTAGTTAAAATATACGTTAATTACCAGTTTTCTCCCCCTCTTGACTCGATAAATTCACTCAGTTCTCGTCTTCCTCCTTTCCTGGCCGCACTGCTGCTACACCGGAAAGGTGTGGAGCTGCATCAACAGCTACTTCCTCCTGTCTGCTTCATTCAGCCAATACCCAGTACAGCAGGCCGTTTGTACATATAATCAAAACACAGCAATCAATAATATGAATACCATYTACCTGTAGCAATAATTTGATTGTTTTTGATTTTAATTTAAATGAAGAATATCTAAACTTACATTTCTAGTGATTAAAAAAATTCAAGGTCTCCGCAACTGATTAAAAAAACTAAGTAACGAATAATAAACCAGAAAACACTGAAAAGTCTAAATGGCTATTTAATGTTTAGTGTCTCGACTGAAAAAATACTGTTATTCCTAGTCATTAAAAAATTTGAAATTCCCAGAAATGATTTCTTTTTTCCACAATCAACACTGCAGTCATCATAAGCACCATTCTTCTAAGAATAAATTACATCATTTTTACCACAGTTACACGTGCTTTAGACTTTCAGCTCCAGATTTCTGCAAGTATACTTTATTTTTTCAATGTCAAAACTGGTGTCCCATTAAGGTTATGTCAGCCAAAATATCTTCAGGTATTTTTAAATACGTTGCTGCAATTATCACTATTCTTATTACTGATATCTGATTTTTTTGTTTAATTTTTACTGTCATAGATTAATATTTGATATTTTAATTACATTTAAACTAGTTAAAATTGTGTCTTGTCTTTGAATTTTTATCAGAAGTGTCTGGACTAGTGGTATCTATGGCAAATAACTATAAGATCATGTGTTTAAAATTAAGTAATTTGTCCTTGAATTATAATGTTTGACAAATCTAAAAAGTTCTTTAGCTGTAATGGTCATTTTGATTTTGAATAAATTAGTACAATCTGCTTTGAAGAGCCTGCCCAACTGTTATATGTTAAATCGGATTGCCATACTTTTAGTCACCAGAGCGAAACGAGCTCCAGGAAAGAATAAATAAATAATAAAATAATAAATATCACTGACATAAAGCAGGATTTCACTGCATGTTAATAAAGTGAAAGAAAATGTAGAGTTACATTCATAAATAATCACAGGTCTAAAAGTTAAAAACGACTAAACTTTGAAAATTCGTTTCTTTTTTTTTTGTTTATTTTCAGGTATTTACATAAAAGTGATAATTTTTGCACTTTATATTTTTATAATGGCTTGGGAAAAATCATGTTAAGGAATTAAATTAGTGTAGTTGTAAAGTTATATATAAAACTGATCTAATAAAATATTAAAATGATTTGCTCAAGTAATTATGTAGAGTAACATTGTCCCCTTGTGGCTACCTTTTGTATTGTCCCATGTGAGCTTGGAAACCTGTCTGAAATGTGCTGTCTTCTGCACTGAAAACTTAGTTTCCATGGTTTGTTCTGCTTCACACAGTATTATTTTAACTGTGTCGTTTTTAATCATTCTTATGAGTTCTGTTAGTTGTCTAGGACTTCTCAGGGACAAGCTGGAGCTGTTTTGGAGTGGACTACCAAATATCCCAGTGGATACTGGACTACCTCACTGACTGCCCTATGTGAGGACACAGGGCTGTGTCTCAGACAGGCTGGTCTGCAGCACGGGGGCTCCTMAGGGAACGGTGCTGGCACCGTTCCTCTTCACCCTTTGCACTGCAGACTTCACCATCAACACCCMACACTGCCATCTTCAGAAGTTCTCTGATGACTCTGCCATAGTCGGCCTCATCACAGGTGAGGACGACTCAGAGTACAGACAGTGGACTCAGGACTTTGTGGACTGGTGTCAGCGGACCCACCTCCTGATCAACACTGCTAAAAGCAAGGAGCTGTTAGTGGATTTCCGCAGGCAAAGACCCACCTCACTGACACCGGTGAATATCCAGGGAGTGGACATTGAGATAGTTCAGTGGTTCCCAAACTTTTCAGCTTTTGACCCACAAAATATCAGCAGCAGAGACCTGTGCCCCCAGCTATTGTTGGTTGATAAACATTGTTTTCACGTCAAATAAACAAGAGCATGGTAACATTATTTATTACGCTATTTTTGTCCATTTTAAATACACTAATCTTATTATTTTGTAACAACACAGGCAAAAAATGTTGTTGTCATTTTTAAGTGTAATTAATTCATAAATTATTTTCAGGACCCCACCTTGATGTTTCAGTGGATCCCGATCCAAACTTTAGGAACCACTGAGATAGTGGACTCTTGGGTGTTCACCTGAACAATAAACTGGAATGGACTCACAACACAGATGCTCTTTACAGGAAAGGTCAGAGCAGACTCTACCTGCTGAGGAAGCTGAGGTGTTTTGGAGTGCAGGAGACGCTCCTGAAGACCTTTTTTGACTTAGTTGTGGCTTCAGGCATCTTTTACGGCATTGTATGTTGGAACAGCAGCTTATCTACAGCTGAGCAGAAGCGGTTGGGTGAGCTCATCAGGAAGGCCATCTCTGTTCTAGGATGCTCCCTCGACCCAGTGCAGGTGGTGGGACACAGAAGGACTCTAGCTAAAATAACAACACTGACAGAGAGCATCAACCCACCCCATGAATAAAGCTGTTGCTGATCTGCAGAGCTCCTTCACTACTGCATTCTTTTTTTGGCCACTTCAGTAGAAAACAAAACTGAACATTAGTTTCTTCATCAGCGCATTGGCGGGCAAAGGCACAACCCACCAAAGGGCAGARTGKCAGGGGGACGAAGCCCACCACCAGCAGTGGGCCCCCAGGTGAACCAGAAGAAGGGGCTGCTCAAGACCCAGCCCRATACCTATCATACACAGACACAGTCACACAATCCCACCCTCATTTTCACACCCACTCATTCAAAGACATACAAGATGGACACCATACTCTAATCACACTCCCCATACATACTCTAAACCCGCCAGGTCCAGGACACGCACCAGCCCCCAACAGAGGGCAGCCCACATCTGAACCCAGGAGGTAGACCCATTCATTCTGTATTAATTCTATATACAATAAAAATACAGTCACAAATTAAATGAAACGTAGCAGAAGAAGAAAAAAAATGTTATATCTGCCCCTTTTTTCAACTAAACAAATTGTTGCAAACCCGACTCAGAAAGAAAGTCATGACAAAAAGGAGACACACTGATTTAAAGTAAATTTATACATTTTTATTATTGTTTTAAAGTGGATTTTGAAGCCCAACTTAAATTAGACAGGAAATAAGAACCAAATAAACTAAACCATACTAATTTACTAAAATATCTACCATAATAAAAATAGAAACAAGGCCTGCCAATCCTAAAAAAAGAGAGAGAGAGAAAAAACAGGATTAACAGGACTACTTGCTATGGGGAGAGCAAGATTAGCCCAAGCAAAAACACAATTAAAATAACTGGATTACTTGCTGAAAGCAAGATCAGCCCAAACAAAACCAAAACCAAAACCAAAACCAAAACCAAAACCCCAACAAAACTAAGTGGACTGCTTGGAAGAGCAAGAGCAGCCACTGGTGTAAGGATTGGCCAGATCTAAATAGGCTGGGGTAATTTGCCCAGGTGCTCCCAGTCTGCAGCAAACTCCAGGCCGCACCCACTTCACCTGAAGAACAAAATACAAACATTAGTCCAATGATGACAGGAGTTGTTACATCCCACACCAAAAAGAAAGGGCCCACAAGGGAACTCCACAAACAACCACACAATCAGAAAAAAAAAAGAGTAAAAAATCAAGCCAGAGGGACACGAGACATTTCAGAGAGTTCAAAAATGTTAATGGATTATGATAAGTGTAAAGCACGATTGGCCCGTTCGTTCCCTGACCCAATATAAACTTCAAAACATTGTAGGGCCCAGATTAAAGCCAGTGCTTCCTTTTCATTCACTSAGTAGTTCATCTGGTAAGAATTAAACTTTCTTGAAAAGTAACAAACAGGCCTCTTAGYGCCAGTTTCATCCTCTTGAAGTAACACTGCCCCAGCTCCAACCATACTAGCATCCACCTGTAGTTTAAAAGTTTCGCTCAGCCGTGGATCAGCCAGTAYGTGCACTAAACATAACAATGTTTTAACATGATCAAATGCTTTGTGACGCTCTGGTGACCATGCACACAAACTTCACGGTACTTTTGAGCAGATCAGCCAATGGTGCAACAACAGTGGAAAAATCTTTACCGAAACTGTGGTAAAAACCCACCAAACTAAGAAATCACATGAAGACTAGGGTAAGTTTTAGTAAGATTTGATTAGGCAGTTATGAGAAAGCTCCATCGGGTAATTTATTTAGCCTGTTTGCTTCTRAGTGGTTAATTACAGTATCATGGACCGGTTACAAGGTCATACAGATAAAAATAAGATTCTGTGCAGAAAAATAACAAGAAAACAGTCATGACAAACTYATGATCCAAGGGGGTGTGCAGTTGAGTCAGATTAAGTCATTTCTATCAATGTGCATAATGTGCATGTGTAATAAATATKGTAAAGGGCAGAATATTTACAGYACAGTGTTCYAGTACAAAAACATAGATGTGCAATAGTCACAAGGGTATTATTTATGTTATGACTGCAAAAGGGAGTCRGTTATTGTGCAAACACAAGCATGCTTATCAAGATTGTTGGGAGCAGTGCTGGTTGTTAGAGTCTAACAGCTGATGGGAGGAAGGATCTGCGGTAAYRCTCCTTTGTRMATTTAGAATGCAGCAGTCTGTCACTGAAGTCATCAATACAATAAATTAAGTGTGGAACAATTATTGCATTATCCAACATAAAAACTGCTTTATCATTAAATAAGTCCTTTACTTTGTACAGTACTGCAATGGATTTAGTTATTTTTGCTCTTATGTGATTTATGTGAGGTCTCAAATTCAATTCAATTCAATTCAAATTCAAATTCAAAAATACTTTATTGATCCCAGAGGGAAATTAGGTGCTAGATTATGACAATTTAGCTGACATGGAGCTAAATTAGGGCTCCATGTCAGCTTTTCATCYATAATGACACCTAAAATCTTTACCTCACTGACTCTACAAATTTCAGCACCATCAACTCTAAATGGAACATCACCAGTTTTCTTTCTATTACTGAATATCATACAATTAGTCTTGTCCAAATTTAATGAGAATTTATTAAGTTGAAATCAAGTTTGTATTTTATCAAATTCTATCTGCACCATTTCCAACATCCGTTCTATTTTCTTAACAAAACAAAAGAATGTGGTGTCATCTGCAAATAATACACATTTAAACAACCCCGACACATTAACCAAGTCATTTACATATAAAATAAGAGGCACTCCACATGTGATGGCAGCCAATTCATTTATCATATTCATTTGAACAAACTGTTTTCTATTTTTTAAATAACGATACCCACTCTAGTGCTGGTCCTCTAATGCTGTATTTGTTCAAATTTTCAAGAAGAATACTGTGATCAGTGTGTGTCAAAAGCTTTCTTCAAGTCAACATAATCACTAGCACAGTACTGTTTTTGATCAACAGCAGTTGTTATTTGCTCTACTAAGTCCATGAGAGCCATCAATGTAGAATTATTAGTTCTAAAACCATACTGACTAATATATTTTGTTCATCGATAAATTGATATAAACTTGTCCTAAATAACTTCTTCAGAATTTTTGAAAACTGTGGTAACAAGGATATTGGTCTGTAGTTGKTGAACATRCATTTCTCAYCACTCTTAAAAAGAGGGATTACCTTGGCTGTTTTCATATTGTTTGGAAATATACCAGTTGAAAATGATAAATTACATAAATGCGTAAATGGCTCAATAATATATTTCATTATATCCAGGGGTGTARCACCAAATTCTGGGCCCTGTACACTCGATGTCGGTGGGCCTCTCTCCATGCCAGTGCATGAGGTGCATAAGAAAGAAAAAAAAAGGCATATTCTTTTAAATAAAAAAGTATAAATGGGGTTTTAAGCTACAATCAGATCAGATTGATGAGTGGTTCTTTTATTCATCAGCTGAATTGATGCATTTGGCTTATGTGTTCAAATAGCTAAACATTATGCTACATCTGGTTTGTGTACTAATGTTGTGATCCATGACACTCAGCAAATTTTGATTTAAAAACATTTATTCTTGAACTTTAGACAAACATTTGGTGCATGACGTGTGCTCAGTTTAACTGTCTGCACACATCAAACTGAACACCAAGTGTTTCTGTTGTGATGCAATAATAGTCAAACCATATAACTGAGATTTTGTTCACCTTCATTAAACCATGTTGTGTATCAGCCCTTTGAACTCACTAAGAATACAGTTGCAACTATCTTTTCTGTTTCTGCAACAATCTTGCTTCACGTGCAATGATTCCATTTTTTTAGTTAAATGTTCATCAATGTAAACATTTTTCTTTTCAGTTTCATTGCTTGCAGTATTAAATTATTTCTTGATTTTCTGCTAATGAACCTAATYACTATGGATGATTTGAAATTTTCTGATTTAGTGTGCAAAGTGTGACAGTTAAAATATAAATATAATACAAAAAATAGCTAAAAAAAGTATAAATTGCTGAAAAACCAAAAGTCATACCACCCTTGTGTGAATGCTATGAAGCACTCAGCGTTGCAGGATGTGTGGCCACGCCCACGTGTGACGTTAGAGAGCGGAAATTATCCATAAAATGAATTTTATGGGCTGGCTTCAAAAAAAAAAAAAAAGTTAGCAAATCAAAATATAACACAAAATTATGTATTCTAGTTCTGTTTGCTACTTAAGTGTATAAATATGGAAGGCGCTTTGCTGTATTTTRCTGTTTAAGACCGCGGTGTTCTAAACACTTTCGTATAACGGTTTTAAAGCGGCAGCGCCACTTTTCGAGACAGGAGCATGGCGGACGTCAGCTGTCCGACATCCCTGGTATCTCTCGGCCGGGCGCTGTCTCAACCGTCCCTCAATCTTTTAGAAACAAACGATACGTCTCCGACAACCTCTCAGCTGCACCCATGCCGGAGGAGAAAGCTGTCGAGCTGCAGCTCGATCGAGAACGGGGACCCGGTCACTTCGCTGTTCGCCGACGAGTCCCGTGTCCTGGTCATCAACACCGGGGGAACCATCGGGATGACGTTACATGATAACGGTAGGAAGCTGAGCTCCTGTGACCCGCAGGTGCTCCAGCGTCACACTGCTGGAGTTAAACGTAGTTTTTGAAGGCACAGCTGATTGTTTTGTCAACATGTTTCTCTGAGCACGAGGCTCGGATTAACATTCTGCGTGACAACAACCTGCACGTGGATCCTAAAATAGTCTGGGGAACATCTTGATATACAGCTGCGACTTGATCTCAACCCGGCTAATGAGAAGCAGCAACCCTGGTGCAGTGGCGGAGCCAGACATTTTCCTCAGGGGTGGCCAGACTGGGACCACTACTCACACAGGGGTGGCCAGATTGGGACCACTACTCACACAGGGGTGGCCAGACTGGGACCACTACTCACACAGGGGTGGCCAGGAATATTACATCTTTTTTTACTTGAAAGTTTCTGCAGATATTTGTGCTGTGGTCATTTCCTTATGTCCTTATACAGGCAGTGAGTACCTTTATAAACATGGGCGTCAGAACCATTTTAAAAGTGGGGGAACACTGTTGGGGGGTCTGGGAGTCGTCCTACAAAAAATTTTGAACAAAATAGATGCCATTTCCTGCATTTAACCAACTTTTTAAACATACTCTTACCTACGTAAATAAACACTTGATTTAATAATTATTTCAGACAAATTATTCGTTAAACTAGTTCCATCATCCTGTTTTAAACTCACTGCTACAGCCGAGATAAGGTTAATTAATGTGACACAATTTTTATCATATCCAATGACTTTAGGGGTGCTTTCTACTTTTATATTGTTTATTTATTTTTAATTGTAACACATGTCATTGTGCCAAATAATGATGATGCTCAACTGCATGTTTAAAACTAATATTAATAATTTTACCCAATGAACAGGTGCAATATTGATAACCACCAACAGTGAATTTAGAKGGGTGTTTCACTTTTTCTGATKTAGTGATAGGCCTACTCATAACCAAAAGGGACAGAGCATCACACGACCTTCATAGCATAAAATGACAAAAATGAATGAATAAATAAATAAATAAATACATAAATAAACATCTGTCACCATAAGTCCAAAAGTTTACACCATAAGTCAGATTACATAGGCATATATTCTGTATATTAAGAAAATAATCACGTCCTCGTCACTACTCTTCTTCAGTGATAGAACTTAGTAATGTTTCAAACTGTTAAACACTGCCACCAACTGTTCAGGAGGATTATTACACCCCTAAAGGTTGTTTCACTGTGTAAGGGGTCTGTACAGCAGGGTGACCAATGGGGTGGCCAAAGATTTGTGTGTGGTGACCATGGCCACCCCCTGGCTTCGCCCCTGCCCTGGTTTACTTGAGAAAAAAAAAATCCTGTCTTCAAAATAAAATAAACCACAGTTGTAGTGATAGTGGTTGTTGTTGTTTTGGTCAGTTAAAAATGTTTCTCTCTCACCAGGCTACTTTTATCATTTTACTAAACTTGTTATCAGGAACCTGTTCCTTATTACCCAAATGCAAATGGAACATCTCCACTGAATGAATAACCACATGTTGAAATTTGGCATTACATAAGATGTGAACTATTCAAACTTTCTTTTGTGCTGTACAGAAGTMTTAAGTCATCCCATTCCCTTCATAATAAAAAAAATTTGTTTCATAATAAGTATATTTTAATTAAAGGTGGTTTATTCATTTGTTAAAGGGGCAATATCATGTAAAATCAACTTTTTTGAGTTATATATCATGTTGTAATGTTATACTCTCATAAAAAAACATGCCCAAAGCCTTGCTTTGACTCATTCATGCATGTTTGAGAAATCCTGCAGCGTTTTTAGGAAGCCATGCAGAGGAGGAAAACAACAGGTGGGGACCAGAAACACCTTGTGGTACCAGAAACGCCCCTGGGACGTGTCTTTAAGCCGAACTTCCTCATGGCAGAGTACACCCCCCCCCCCCACCCGGCAGTAACAAAACAAAAGTGAAAGTGAAACTTACTGTCTGCTGCTCTCAGCACTACATCTCACTCAGTGAAGCTCTTTTCAGATTCAAAGTACCTTTGAGGAAATTTGTTTTCAGATGCTAAGTAAACTGCGTCATAGCGCACGCGCGAACCATTGCTAACCAATGATCCCTTGTGCTGCTTTAAAAGTTTTGCACAGTATACCGCAGCTTTGAAATCTTGCTGTTTGACAATGACTTTTACCAACACTCTTTGTCCGGACAAAGAGAAGTACTTTTYTCTGTGTCAAACAAATGTTATGCTAAGCCTTACCCTAAATATGATCCAGAATACACAGTATGAATCTTGATATCCATTCCGAACAACTAGCCCTATTTGAAATACAGCAAAAAATAAAATAAAATAAAATAAAAAAAGTAGCCAAGTTTGAGCTCAGTATCTATAAAATTGGCTGAATTACAGCCATTATTGTGTTTTCTAAAGATGGTTGACTGTGACAGCCATCTTGAATTGTAGGGCTGTGTATTGGCAAGAATTTGGCGATACGATACATATCATGACAGAGGGGTCACGATACGATATATCTTGATATATTGCGATACTATAAGCAAGGTGATATATTGCGATATATTGCGATTTTTTTGTCCAAAAATTCTATTAAATAAAAACCTCTTACAGGGGAAAAAAAAGAAAAACCAAAATTCATTGCCTCAGAAAATTCTAATATTACATAGACATGCTTTTGATACATTTAGCTGTGTTCTGCTTTGTATGTATTTTATATTATTTGTTTCATATTTCTTATTTCATCCATGTTTTCAATTATTAGACTAAATTTGACAATAAATAGTTTGAAAATATATTTTTTGCAGCTTTTAGTTTTTAATATTAATTTACAATATGGTCACCCAACACTTAACATTAGCCTCTACCTCAAGAGGTAGAGTAGCCAAATGGCTGACTCACTGCTGCCAACTAGTGTCAGAGGCTGAACTACAACATAAAAATGAACGGCTGGCAGGAAAGTTGACATTTTAAATCTTAATAAAAAATCAATACAGGGCTTTAGAATATCGATACAGTATCGGGAAATGAAATATCGCGATATTTCAGTGTATCGATATTTTCTTACACCCCTATTGAWTTRASCACAAAAGTTCATCCGTTGTTGATGGCAACYTAATCATTACTTAATGAAAGTTTCATTAAATRCCATTCAGTGATTCCTGAGCTATTTTGCTGACAGGGACAAAAAAGATTTAAGTGTTAAACACAGATTTTGTTGTCAGAGAACGTGTTGGAGATCAGTCTCAGCTGCCAACACCAAATTTTAGTGAAATTTTATTTGTAAAATTGATGGATTTAAAGTTATTTTAAGGTTTGTATATTAAAAAAAAACATGTTTTAATCTTCTGGTATTAGTTGAACTTTTGAACTAAAACTTTTGGTAAAGTGTTCKTCATGCGAGGAGTGAAGATGAAGAAAAACAGAATCAGAAAGTCGAGCAGGTTTAGTGAAAATTAGCACCCTGCTGTGACGACTGTAAAAGTCCATCAGTTGTAGATGTCAACCCAGTCATTACTTTCTGAATGGTTCATTAAAATCCATTCAAAGATTCGTAATGGTAGAGAAAAACAACAAAAATTGCACAAAGACTGACAAAAACAGGCTCGCACCACCTTTCACTTCATCAGTGAGCGGTAAAAAAATAAATATATTTAAATCCTGGAAAAGTATTAAGTCAGACCACTTTATAAGAATGTTTGGCTTTTTGTAAGCAAAGTATAAAGAAATCTGCTGTTTCAAATCTTTTTTTACTGTAAATGTCCCAAAAGTTACTTACTTATTTTTGTCCTGTTATTTATTATTGAAGTGTGTAGTTTAACAGAAGTGTATGCCTTTCCAGGTGGATTAAGAATCATAATTTTATTTTAATTCCCTAAAATGATTGAGCTGTGCACAGTTTGTAACAATGTCATGTCTTACATTTACCTCTAGGGTTCAGTGTGAGACTGATAAAGCTGTTTTGTTGGGACAATAGATGATCTCTTTTTAATGAACAAATCCGCTCAATGAACAAGCTCTTACCTGACATATCTCCATTGTTGTAATCCACAGTTCTTGCCCCCAAAGCCAATGCTCTGGTGCAAAGCCTGCGCAAACTGCCCATCCTGCACGATGAGCTGTACGCCCATCAGACCTCCATGTATCAGTACTACGGTTCTGAGAACTCCCTGGTCCTGCCGTAAGTGCACCCAGACATCACATCAGCTCAGTCAACACGCAGCGATACCTTATTTCCATACATTAAAAAGCCTTAATAGAATAAASGTTTGAGGCAACATATTTGAAAGTGTGTGTTTTACATGTTATTACATTTACTAAAATGCAGGAAAACAACTATTTCTTTGTGTCATATAAAAAAGTTCAGTCTTTTTAACTGTTTGATTTAAAWATTTTCCAAAAACATAACGATCTGATATGTTGGAGATCACCAGGTGAGCTTCGTGTGAGGTTGGTGGTAACATTTCCAACTTAAAGGGTTAGCATTTCCTTTAAAATAGATTTGCTGCACGCTCCATGTCATCCACTGAAATTAATAAAGGAGTAGGATATTTCATCCAATGATTTATTATTTTTTCTGTAACTAACATTTTACTGTCTCACAGCCATTATAAATGTTTCAGTGAAAACAAYTGTTTTTTCTTAAAGTTGTTTTAATGACCCTAAACTACATTTGTCACTTTAACAGAAAGCCAACGCCCCACTCTACTCTTCAGTTTCATGGGTGCTGTAAAACTGGTAGCATGGCGTGTGCCGCCACTTTGCTTGTCAATGCTTTCATGTTCTCGGCATYCTCGACGCCAGTCGTTAAAGAGGAGGTGCATGCAAACGTGGCCTTTGGCAGTTGGACAAAACATTGCCTGGAAGTAATTTTTGTGCGTTGTAGTACTCCCCGCTTGCTGATGCGTACAGTTTTCCCAGCAGGCCAGCTGCTTTACTGTGTGGGAGATAATTACATAGACGGAGATAATTTAAGTTTGTGTAAAGTATGTTTGAACACAGTTGGTCTTACTGTCTTGTGCATGTGCAACGAGCTACACTGACTGCACAGTGTTTGCACTGCTAGCGTCTGGGACGTTAGGGCGAGGAGCCAGCTGAAGTGAAAACAATACCTAAAGATCAGTAGTACACCAGTTGATCAGTTGACTGATTAATAGCAAGATTACTGACATTATTGTTATTTTTAAATGATTGTTGCCCAGGGCAGAGCTCGCTAAGCTCATTGCAAATCAGGAACATCTGTTATTACTACGTTTTTGTGTCAATCAAGTGCCACTTCCTTCGATGAGGATGACTTTCATGGCTGAGATACTTTTAATGATACAACACTGACAGACCTAAAAAAAAAAAGCATTTACCACATTAATATCCTAACTCTTGAAGGAACCGTGTTAAATCTAGCAGGGAAAATAGACCAGTTATAATTTAAAAATGTCCTGTGAAGGTGTTTTAGGTTTTTATATTTTAGCCATTTTTGCAGGTGACTATCACACACCTTGTTTGTTTGCTCAGATTTCTTCAATCCCAATTGTTTTGTTTCATTTTTCAAAATCTAGTTCATAATGTGTAGGAATTTTAAAAAGTATTATATCTAAAACAAATTAACAAAAATTGGCTTAATTGGCTTCTATTTTGTATTATCTGCTTTAGAACTTAAACTTTAATTGTGTCTTTACAATTGCCTGATTATAGGAAAACTTCAGACCAGAACTTTTATTAGTTATTTCAGGCTGAAAATAAATTGCATATAACACCACGATTGTGTGCTGGAGAGTTGTCGGTTCACTACACATTACTGTGGTCCCACAAAAAGAACATAACAGCTTCCATAAAGCAGTTTCTGCTGGTCCCAGTATAAAATGTATTGGGTATTTGCTCATTCTTCAGTTTATAAATGAATTTTAACAAACATGCGAGTTGTTTGTTGATGACATGTAAATATATAGCCTGTGTCTTATTTCTGCACAGGAAATGCACTCAGACATATTATTTTTACACTAATAGACTATATGTCAGTGTTGGTAGACCTAAGGGCACGTGGACAGATAGGTGACTAACTGGAGGTACTTTAGCTCTAAGATTAGCAACAACATATGCTCCAGGGTTGTGTTYGGACTAGATGCTAATTAGTAGAGTGTCTGCAGGACCCCCTGGTTAGATGGGCTGGGGCATCTCCCACTCACCCCCCTGCTGTTCCTTTCAGCTCCTATCGTTACATGACCCTGTGATAATGTGGTGGTGGGGGGYGGGAGGGGTTCACCCTGCTTCTTTWAAAAAGATTAGAAAGATAATCTTTYCGTGACTGCCGAGCCCGTCACGCTGTCACAGGTGGAGCTTCGGCAGACATGTTTTACATGCAGCACCTTTTCTCRCCCATGTTTGGAGTAATGGAAACACACATTGCCTTTTCTTTAATCTCATATGAGTCAGAAGAACCATGAGCTGCGTGTATTTACAGAACGCGGTGGTATCAGTGTGTTCTGTATCTGTACCCGTATGACACGGCTCKCTTTTTCCACCTCTAAAATTCTTTCTGCATGTGTAAAGAACAGGTTTTGGCAGCTTGCTGTTGGGTTCRAAGGCCCCAGTAAAAAGCTTTGTCTCACTTGATAAACTCAAAATGATCTTTTCTTTATGCTTCCTTCTACTCACTTCTTTGCTTTCATCAGATTGATTTAACTTTTCTAAATGAGCAGAATGTGCACAGTCATTTCACATATTAAACATGTTTGAAGTGAATGCATTTCCGATCACTAACTTCACCAATAAATACATTTTAGCTGAACATTAACTTGTTGTGATGTTAAAGTTGTGGTTTGCTTTCTTTTCCAGATTGAATAAATTAAATAGGAGGATAATCTACACCATCCTGGAGTACAGTCCTTTGCTGGACTCCTCTAATATGACCACAGATGACTGGGGCAGAATTGGAAAGGACATTGAGGTGCTTGTGTCTCAATTTATTTCATTTTTAGTGAATATTTTAAAACAAAACAGACACTAAATGTCTTTTTAATGTGATGTTGACAGCTTATCAAGTAGTGCTGTGTATTGGCAAGAATTTGGCGTTACGATACATATCATGACAGAGGGGTCACGATACGATATATCCCAATATATTGCGATACTATAAGCAAGGCGATATATTGCGATCTATTGCGATTTTTTGGTCAAAATTTATATGAAATAAAAACCTCTTACAGGGGAAAAAAATGAAAAACCAAAATTCATTGTCTCAGAAAATTCTAATATTACATAGACATGCGTTTGATACATTTAGGTGTGTTCTGCTTTGTATGTATTTTATTTTATTTGTTTCATATTTCTTATTTTGTCCATGTTTTCAATTATTAGACTAAATTTGACAATAAATAGTTTGAAAATATATTTTTTGCAGATTTAGTTTTTAATATTAATTTACAATATGGTCACCCAACACTTCACAATAGCCTCTACCTCAAGAGGTAGAGTAGCCAAATGGCTGGCTCACTGCTGCCAACTAGTGGTCAGAGGCTGAACTACAATATAAAAACGAACAGCTAGCAGGAAAGTTGACRTTTTAAAGCTTAATAAAAAAATCGATACAGGGCTTTAGAATATCGATACACTATCGGGAAATRAAATATCGTGATATTTCAGTGTATCGATATTTTCTTACACCCCTATTATCAAGTGCAGTTTTAATGAAATGAATTACACATACAGAAGGTGTTGGTGTAAAATGATGCTTATTTGCTCTGTTTCTTCTAGAAAAACTATGAAAACTATGATGGATTTGTGATTCTTCATGGGACAGACACTATGGCTTACACAGCCTCAGCCCTGTCCTTCATGTGTGAGAATTTGGGGAAACCAATAATTCTCACCGGCTCCCAGGTAGGTTGCTGTTCTTCGCACAAACTCCTTCACTCCTGAGATGTAACTGTGGAATTTGAAGTGTTGACGTTCTAAATCAAGGTGCCCATCTACGAGCTGAGGAATGACGGCAGAGACAACCTGCTGGGGGCACTGCTCATCGCTGGCCAGTTTGTTATTCCTGAGGTAAGATAACAACAAAAACAAAAAACAAATTCTTATCAGCCTAAAAGAAGGAACTCTCAAATCTGATGTAACTCTGAATGTTTCTCTAATATATATATTTTTTTATGTTATGTGCTCGGTTTCTAAATAAACTCTAAATGAATCAGTGTGTTCGGTGTATATTATTATGTGGAGACGACAAAACTTGTTTAACAAAAACAGGCGAGAAACCGTTGAGAGAATGCTTCTRTTGACCGCGAGTTGTTACGCAACTAAACATTTCATAGAGCAGGAGTGACGGTAAGGTCTCTGCAACCTTTAGTAAAGGTGATGTTTGTACAAAAAGTGCATCTCAACAAAATGAACGTTAAATAAACATTTACTTAAATAAGAAAACATGCAAATGATAAACATTTTAAATAATTTTTTTTGATAAAAACGTTTCAATTTGAAACTAATTCCAAGTTTATGCAGCTTCAAAGAACCAGTATTAGCTCAGTTTTGCACTGATACGGATGCAAAGGAATGCATAATTATAGTCATAACTTAAATTTTTGTCTGATGTATTTCTAACTCCTAAATTAGGTAAAAAAAAGAATAATTTTAATTCTCCTCTGCAAATATGGCTTTGAGTAAAAAGCAATGAATTCCTCAATAGTTCAAAGTTGGACATTTCATAATCATCCGTCACATGAAAGTTTCWTAACAAAAAGAAAATTAGATCTCAACAAGCTGCTTTATTCTGTAGCAGTTTTATCACTCATGACCTACATGTTTTCTTATTTCAGGTGTGTTTATATTTCTTCAACAAACTCTACAGAGGGAATCGCGTCACAAAAGTGGATGCTGGGAGCTTCAACGCGTTCTCCTCCCCTAACTTGGCTCCTCTGGCGACAGCTGAAGTTGATATTTCAAGTTAGTGACAGATGAAATACTTGAGTCTGTATTATATTTTATAAATCCCTCTGGTTATTTAARGAGATTTTTCTAACCTGATTTTGTCACGTTTTTGTTTAGTCAGCTGGGATACTGTTTGGAGGGCAAACACCACAGCAAAGTTTCAAGTCCGAACAGAGCTGAACCGGAACGTGGGTCTGCTTCGGCTCTTCCCAGGAATCACTGCTTCTACTGTAAGACGTTTGACCCTTACAATAGCAAGTTTTCAAGTATRGAGGAGTTAGTTAGTCAAAAACATATGAAAATTAATTCATGTCATTAAAACTAAGGTCTTGGATTTAAAGAGGCAGCCTCAAAACGAGTAGATCTGAGGCACACCTCAGGAAAAGAGGTGAAAGAGGGGCTTGTGGAGTTACAATAAGGAGGAATTCAGATCAAAGCACTGCAATTCCACTGATATGGACCCCAACTTGATTTAAATGTTAAAAAGAAGGATTTAAAAGTTTTATATTTCAACTTTAAAAGGTAGCAGACTGTTGTTTTTGTGAAACTGTAGTGAAATACAGCCAACTTTGCTTGAAATAATGCACACTTTCCCATTAGTTCAGTACCATTATTATAAACGGCCGTCAAAGCTTTGGCCAGAAAAAGATGAAGTTATGGGCCATATCGAATCACCCTGTAAAAGGGAAGGATTGGCTCAGCTACTGTACTATTTAGCCACACCTTCCCCTGCAGAGGCTGCTGGGAGCGTTACTTTACTGTCTCAATCTGCTCCCTCTGCCCATCGCTGCTATGAAGGCCTTCTCACAGCTTTTTACTGCTTTTATGAGCCGTAGTTTTGATTAAGCACAAGGTTCTTAACTATGAAAGCTTGATTGGAGAGTTGTGTCGCACCTTTCTTGTCCAACCACTAATTATACCCCAAAATACTGACTTGGAACTTTAAACGTCACCTCTTTCTCGCAGCTTAACTTGCCAAGTGACTTTATGCTTGCTAATGGCTTCAGATTAATTGCCCTCCTTCCTGCCGTTGAAATCATCTGCTGCTCCAGTCGTATGCCGTGGTTAATGATGTGGTATGGGGCCTCCCAGTGCCCACCAGCCAGCTAGTGATTAAGATACTGGTTTCTGAGATGGCACCAGATGGGCTTTTAGGAGCAGAAACGGTCTCATGAATAAGAGTGAAAAACACTGCAGGATAAAAATAACACGAAATACCAATTTCTCCATTTGATTCTGCACAGTTTATTTGCCCATAAATTTTGGTCCGTTTTGAAATCTGAGYCTGCTCACATCTGTGTCCAGGTCAGGGCTTTCCTGCAGCCCCCCATGCAGGGTGTCGTTCTGGAGACCTACGGGAGTGGGAATGCCCCCGATAATCGTCCTGACCTGCTGGATGAACTGAAGAAAGCGACTGACGCTGGCGTCATCATCATGAACTGCACACAGTGTCTGAGGGGGACTGTGTCAGCGTCCTACGCCACCGGCATGGTAGTTAATTTGAGCCACTCGTTACCTTTCATCAGACGTAATGTTAAGGTGAAAGAGAAAGAATCAAATTACTTGTTTCTTTGGTTTCCTTCTTTTAGGTGTTGATGGACGCAGGGCTGATAGCCGGGGGTGACATGACTCCTGAGGCTGCTTTGTCAAAACTCTCCTACATCTTGGCCAAGAAAGAGCTTAGTCTGGAGGCCAAGAAAAAGGTTTATTTATTAATGGCACATTTAAACACTTTATGTATGAAGCAAAAGAAGCTTAGAAGACAATTCTGCAAGGTTTTTAATTTTTCGCCTCATCCAGATGATGGCTGAGAACCTGCGAGGCGAAATGAGCGCTAATCTCGACGGAGCCAAAYTGTGTCTGAGTGACAGCCAGTTTATCCAGGTCATCGCCAAGTCGCTGAGCATCAGCTGCAAGGAGGTGAGCACACACCGCGCGCTTCAGCTCGACCGCTCCTGAACAAGCTTTCCAACAAACCTGTTGGTTTTTTTCAGCCAACCATGACAGAACATTAACTCAAGTTCAGACTTTTCTTTTCGTGTTTGTCTTTTATTCCACAGTGTAGCTCAATTTAACTCTAGAACTATAGTGAATATTTTTTATTTCAATAAGTACCACTGTCTAAGCTGTAGGTGCTATACTTGTTTTCAGGAGTTCAACAATGCTGCAGAAATATTACTGCTACAGGTGACAGTTCTAGTGATGATTCACTCTGACCAGTCCTAGCTTGCTCGTAACCACAACTGTGGTGATTCTATACAGTGTTGGAGGGAAAAACAGGTAGAGTCAAGTTAAGCTGAGCTGTAAAATACAAAAAAAAAAAAAAAAAAAAAAGAAACATACAAGATGAAAGTTATTCTAATTCTAGTTTGATGGAAATGGATGTTGGGTCATTTGAGCCAAATTACATTCATTTGAAATTTCTTGTTTCTGGTGTCCAAAGGAGCTGGAAGCCATCCGTGATGCTCTAACTCCCCCGCTGGCATGTGCTGCTGCGAAGATCGGAGACATAGAAGCCTTGAACGCCCTAAAAGAAATGGTAAACACCTCTATGAATATCAGCACTAAGATAGAGTTGACAATTTTGATTGTGTTGCAAAAACAATAACAATTTAACACACAGACACACAAATGCTAATAAAAACAACGTATTGGGTTTGAAAGACTGATGGTAAATGGTAAGTGGACTGTACTTGTATAGCGCCTTTCTATCCAACCAGGATACTCAAAGCGAGTCACACTACCATCTTTGTCCTCATTTACATACAATAAAACATAAAAATATACAAATCAAAGATCAAATAAAATGAAAGGCAGCAGAAAAAAGAAAAAATCTTATATCTGCCCCTATTATCCCAAGAATATATTCAAACAATAGTAATAAAAAAAAAAAAAACAAAGTTACAAACATCAACTCAGACAACATATGGATTCACATAATGCTTCTCCATATTCCTTCAAAAAACTAACTTTTATCATTCTCTTMAATATGTACAYAGAGCTGGCATTTTTAACGTCATCCTCCAGACCATTTACCCATTCATACAGCACTCGACTGGTCTCTATAAAGCTAACATATACAAATCAGTCYATGAAGGCTAATCAGTGCTAATCACATTCATACACTGATGGGACACACAGAGGTCACAGCCGCCCCAATGCTGAAATCGACACCACAGACTTTAAACACAGTTATGCAACAAACATGAACAGGAAAGCGTTTGACGTATCTTATCTGCTCATGTTTGGTTTGGGAGGTCAACGTTCGCAGGTAAACTTGAACTTGAAATTTCGTGGAACAGTTTGATGCTGCACTTCTCCAAAAAGGGACAAAAAAATATCATTAACCAAAGCGCCCATTTTCCTTTTTAATAAATACCCTTGTAATATATGTAGAATAATGTGGCCTACTGATGTATTTGTATAGTTTTTAACAGTGATAGAGTTTTTTTAGGGGAAAAACACAAACCATACTTATTGATATAAACAAATCCCTTTTAGTTTCTTTTTTTTTCATTCAGTGTGATACCTTGTGATTCTTCTGTCACAGGGAAGTAACTTGTGTTTRGGTGACTTTGATGGACGGACGCCTCTACATATCGCTGCCTGCGAGGGTCACTTCAAACTTGTGCAGTACCTCCTCAGTAATGGAGCCTCGGTCCACTCTAAGGACCGCTATGGGGACACACCTCTGTGCAATGCTGTGCGCTTTAGGTAAGACACAAAGAGCGCTGCTGTCTTTGTATTTATCTGGTCCTTAATGTAATGTTACCATTTAGGAAGTTGCAGGCATTTAACACCTCCCCAATTTGGCCATTAGCAACAATTGTTATTCCTCACAGACATCTGAAGGTTTTCTGAAAATCTRTTGGTAATAGCTCTATCATAGAGCAGATTTCATTAAATGAGCTGCTTAGAGGCAGGAAAATTCAGCTCYGCCTAAATGAAGAGAAGGGAGCAGAGATTGCAGCAAGGGGATGGGGAAGGGGGGTTGCTGATTCCAGGGGACCAACTCATAATGAAGTTTAGAGGCCGATGATAATTACAAACTAATTAGGCTAATTGTCATCTGACAGTTTAGATGGTGTTTATTTTTACCAGAACTGTTTTTGTCATTGAGTCGGCAAGAAAAAGCCTGACTTTAGGTTTCAGTGCTGGTGCTATATGGAGCCTGAAGGGGGAAAACGTATGTGTCACTTCCGTACCAAATGGTTGTTGTCTTTATTTTAACGGTTGGCGCTGCGTGTGCGGACTTGTTTCTCTTTGTGACGATGGAGTGATGCAGCGGAGCACAAACACCTGCCGTTACAGAACGCTTCCTGCAGAGCAGGGGTGCCCAAACATTTTCCCTGAGAGGGCCACAATGAGAATCTATCCAGGGCTGCGGGCCAAATGCAGTGATATAATACATGAAATACAAATACTTTTTAAAGTAAAGTCCTTTATTTTTTAACAATTAAGCTTTGCAATGGCCCTCTTTTGTTTTAGTCTGTGCACTTGGAGAAAGTCTGCCATACGCTCAAGTAGCAAAGGCTCATGGAACATTTCATAAACTGATGAAATGAGTTTTTGTGGCCTTATAAAGTGTGCAAATCTACATGTGGGGTTAAATCTGATCTAAATATTTCTTGTCATTTCATGTTTCATGTTTAATCCTAATAAATCAAAGATAAAGTCAGCACCATGAATGAAAACCACCTACACTACAGCCCTTTTATATARTCATTTGACCAATGGAAATAYTGTGTTTCTACATAGGATGACAGGTTACAACCTTGTAACTTTGGCAACTGTTGGTGGGCCAAAYCAAATGGCTTGGCGRGCCAAATWTGGCCTGCAGGCCCCATTTTGGGCTCCTCTACTACAGAACGTCTCAGCAGCTCTCTTGATTTGTTCAATAAAAATGACTCTAAATGGTCCTATAGAAATTAAGGTTTGAGTTGCCAACTGGATTTAAGGCACACGTTTGCACAGACTACTGCAATTCAGCCAGATGCCCATATAAGGAAAGGCAGGGAGACAGTGAAAGGTGAAGAACAAATATGGGGAGTGTCTTTTGAACCAGTTGTACCAGTTAGCTCCCAGTTTCACAGATAAAACATACTAGCGCCTTAGTCTTTTAGAAGTCTTCTATGTCCTGTTAGTGGTTTCTATCGATGTCACTACATATTCTAAACAAGAAAACAAACAACAAATGTTCCCTAACGCCTAAAGACACTTTCTGTTTTGTTTGCTTAAATTCACTCAACTTTGAGTAGGGAACAATTTTGTGTTTGGTTTTGCCTGAATATCTTGTTTAAGGGACTGTCGCAGTGGGGGTGGCACTTTGTAAGGGATAAGAAACTTGCTCTGACTTGCCAGACAGCAAGTGCTACCACACTGACTCAACAGGTCCAAATAAACTTAAAAGTCAACTTTTAATGAGGAATAGTAACACTTTACATCAGAGCTGATTTCAGTCTGATGAAATTTGACTTAACTGACAAAAGGTTTCAAAATTACATCACTTTATAATTTTTTAATTGCCACTAGGTAGACATTTGAAGTGTTTCCAGTCATGAACAAGTCCAAAAATAAAACTTCAAAAGGACTTCTTTTTTTTAATGGGACTCAAAGTGCGAACAGCGTGAAAATAGTACACTGTTAATTATTATTTAAAACMGAGGTCTCGGGGCTTATTTTGACCCAAGGACATCAATAGGTTAAGTAAAGTTGAATCTGCACTTTGGAGCTAAAAAAGTGTTTTCATTATTATAAGATGTAAGAAGGAGAGAGGAAGATCTGTAGCCAACTAAAAACCAGTCAGACGGTGATTAAAGTGGTGAGTATGAGGCACTAATTAGAGCTGCAGTAGCCGCCATGCTGATTAAACAATACAACAGACACGGCGCTAAATCCAGCTCTGAAAACCAGGCGAACAGAACAGGTGCTTTGAATGAATACATGACTGTGTTAATGTGTGAATCTTATTTTGTAAGGAGTATGAAAATGAGTCGGAGCCATAAGACTTAAATATATAGATCACTAGACTGAGCCCCGCCCATACCATCCACTGGTAGTGTCTGTGACAGCATGGAGGARCAAAAATGGCGTCTAAAAGGGCAACAGCTCACAGCCTCCATAGAAACT